TTGACTATGAAAACTAATTTTTAAAGCCAGGACTAGCGGACGTAGGTTTTTGACACTTCCGGGTTGACTTCATTTTTCAGGGCCGGTTGCTACGTCCATCTTTTATACAGTCTGTGGTCTGTATGCGAACTAAAACTAAAACTCATCAGCTTCATCCAGCAACACAGGCTGTAGTTGTACAGAAGCAGTGGTTGGATGGATCAACCGCCGTTTCTTTTTCTTTTCACATCTTCATTTGAGAGTCGACCAGTCATCAGCCTGATCGATCACGCAGCCGTTTTCCAATTACTAGTGTTGCTTCCCCAATCGATTCCCGACAAGATAAATTCATTTAAAAATCTTGTCTCTGATGCAGCCTCTTTCTTTCTGTAGTCACTCTGTCTTATCGGAGAAACAGACGCAAAACACAAACAAAAAGCAGTTCAACCAAGTTTTGTGCTGAAATTTCTGTAACTCTAAATTATGACGAGATTTTCATTTTTATACAGCAAATGTTTATTGGTTTTAAATATCAGTCTTGTTAATCATTAATTAGCATTAACAGTCCACAACTCATACGGTGTTTTGTAGAAACTCTGTACAACATGTCACTTAACAAGCGTACAGGTGTTGTTGGTATGTATACTGTTGTGCTGTGGACACAAATAGGCTAACTGCTGCCCTGTGTTTCCAGTCTTTATGCTAAGCTACGCTAACCATCTTCTGACTCCAGCTACACACTGAACACACAGACATAAGACTGATACGGATCATCACATCTCTCCTTCTACAACAAAGCTAGCAAGCAGATGCAAGAGAAATAAATTCGGATCGATGGATTGAAACGTGTAGCATGGTGCCACCGTGGATGTGTTCTGATGTGCAACAAAAAGGAGGAAGTTTAGGTTTATTCCAGAAACCTCTAAAGACTCATGGATGGTGTAGATCAGGGATCTCTAACTCCAGTCCTCGTGAGCTACTGTCCTGCAGATTTTAGACGTTTCCGTACCTGACTCAAATGAATGGATCTCCACTTGTTGTCAAGTTCTACACAAGTCTGTTAATGATCCCTGATGTAGATTCTGTTATTCTATGTTCAGAAACCAGCATGTGTTTGGTTCCCTGCTCTGAGGAAGGATTTAGAACTGGTCACCGCTCAGCTTCAATGGTTTACTGCAGAAGTGAATTGAAAACAGTCCTCAGACTCGATCCTGGCACCAGTTAGCTCACTATGAGACCTGACAGCAGCCGAGTAAAGAATTCTGGCACTGCAGGAAGTTAAAATACTGCACGGCGGGCGTGAGCGATAACATGTCAAAATATGCCACTTGTCACTTTTTACTGGTGATGCACGATATTAAAACTTCTGGCCGATATCGACATCCGACATTAAGATTTCTGATATCGCTGATAACCGACATCACCGATGTCAATATTCATTTCTGTTTTGTTCAATTAGATTCAAATTAGACCACACAGTCTTCTTTATTATGCAACAAAAGGAAAACATATTTTAACATATTTAACATTGAAGTCCAGGATCATTTAAGTGAAAACATCTGTGAAATAGCAGCAACATCAAATGTAGAGACGAGGCGCTGATGTTAGACAATCATCAGACCAATACCGACATATCGGAACAAACGCTAACATCAGCTGATACCGATGTGGTCGCGGATATATCGTGCATCCTTCCTTTTTACTGTCTATCATGACATCATACTTATTGGTGGAGAATCGACAGAGACCAGTTATCTGGCACTGGCTGGTGCAGAAGTTCACCGTTACCACACAAAAGGCCGACAAGCTTTTAGATAATGTTCCCTGGACCACTGACAGCCTCCCAGAGAACCAGAGAGCATCCAGAAGTGTGGATATTTTCAAAGACCATCGATTTATTCTCACCTTCATCTTGTTTTGCTGGGGTTCTGAATAGAGCTCAACAATTCATTCATTCATTCATTCATTTCAGTCACAATTTAAAACAAAATAAAATCCAAAAGAATTTAGGATCTACAAGGTGCGATGATTATGCAACAAAATCATTTGATTTGATTCATTAGGGTTATATTTTACAGATAATGATCAATAAAATAAGCGCTAATGTGACATTTCTTTCATCAGTAAATCATGTTGATTGCAGTCTAAGCAATGATATTAGACGTAGCACAGCCGAAATAGCTGAAACAATTCTGAAGTATTTCCTATAATCCTCCTAAATGTCAGGTCTGATTACAAGATAAACTGCAAACATTTCTTTTGGTCACATTTACTCCATTACAATCAATGTTCAAAGCGTTAAAATCAGCTTGATCCAGTTAAAAGCGGCTGTAGATTAATTTAAATCAATCAATACAGGTTTAAATCTGTAAAAATACAACCTCCTTGAATGAAATAAAGCCATTTTTTGTTGTTTGTCCCACTGTGACACTTCCAAACAAGCCTCTGTGACCTAAATGAGGTGGACAAAATAAATAAAAACACTTATTTTGCATCCAGTTCAACAGCATCAGCAAACTGCAGCCTCCCAAAATGATCACACAGATGAAATACTGCCTCTTACAAAAACACTGAACGTTTAAACCTCAGAATGCACCAGTTTCGGCTGAATGGACCAAATGAGCTGCGAGACTTTGCAGCTCTGACATGCTAAAGATGCTAAGCACGTTAGCACGCTAGGATGCTAACCATTAGCATGATGGCACCTTCTCACGACTGCACACAGCACAGCATTATACCTGCCATCAGTAGGTCACATTTCTAATCTAACACCTGATCAATAACATGTATTACTGTTAATACAAACAGGCAGGTGTTGAAGGAAACAGAACCATCCCTGCTGGTGTTTTTAAGCTGGATTTTCATCATTAACCTTCGTGTTAAACTGTGTTTTTTTTAGCTGCGCAGCTCCGTTTAAACACACATTTAGATCATTTGTGAACAGCTGTGAGAGAAACACGGCGCACAACAATGTGGACATCTAACCTGTCAGCGGTTCTTGAGGACAGATTAGCTGCTCGCTGATCTGTGAAGAGCTAAACGCTAACCTACACCTGCGGGGTCCGGTTAGCAGAGCGGCTAACGGAACCAAAACACAGCGGTGACAGCGGCTAACACGTACCGGAAACAGCAGCTCCTACTGGGTCATGCCCCGCTAACGGAGGACGAGACGAGAACGAGTCCCTCCGTGGAGGATAAATGTAAAAAAGCAAACAAGAATCAGCTTCTTCTCAGCTGCGGCTCCCACCGACGAACCGAGCGAACCGGTCAGCTGATCACGAGACGACCGAGAGCTGCGCACCGTCCTGCGGTTTCAAAATAAAAGACGTCGCGCTGATTAGTTTGTATGTAAATGAGGGTTTCTGTTTTCTCCCAGATGTCAGTGATAGAATTGTCCTCGTCGAAATCCCCCAATCTCCAGTGTTATTCATTCTCCTTAAAGCTGCCAAGACAGTCTTCAAGAGTCAAGACAAAAATATGTGCAAAGAGCAAGATAAAGACAGTTCAAATAAATTCAAATAAATGAGATAAAACTAAATGAAATCGATAGAAAATACTCCTTTGTAAATGATTATCTGTACGTTTCAGTTATTTACCTTTGTCAGTTTGATATGATTAGTTTTAGTGGTAATAATAATAACAAACAGAATTATTATTAGTAGTAGTATCCAAATGTTTATTTTTCTTATTAATAATATTTCTAACAATAATTATTAGAATAATACAATATTGGTAATCACATCATAATAAGATAATCAATATTATTATTATCTGTATTGTCAATAATGAATAAATATTGTTTACATTCATACTTAAAACCTACAATATCATTCTAAGTATTCTATTTATTCTCATTCTTATTATTTGGAATAATAATACAATTAAGAACAACAAGACACTGAAAATGTTCATGTTTGTTGTCTCCTGAAGTGGCCGCCGCCATCACCATGGCAACACAGTGAAATACAAAAATAAAGAGTGTTCACTTCAACAGCCAAGACGTTTGTCTGAAGGCTGCCATATATCCAACTTAAAAAAAACTGTATCAAAGCTGCCCCAAGAACAGCCGCCTGTTCAGCCTGTAAACCCCCGGACCAAGGTGCCCAACCCCCAGGAGGTTGACCCGCTGAACCAGGACGTTCTTCAAGACGATCAGGATTTTCCTGTTCTCCAGAGGACAGCAGAGGACGTCACAGCCTGCGGTGCCGTTGGTGCGGCACAAAAAACCTCAAAGAGACAGAAAATGAACAAAAAATCTGGTCTCAAGGTTACATTTGGGTCGACTATGCCAACCAAGGTAGTCCCCAAAGCCACACCCGAGCCAGAACCAGAGCCCGCCAGACTCAAGTCAGAGCCCACAGCTAGACCCGAGTCAGTGCCAGAGCCCACAGCGAGACCCGAGCCAGAGCCAGAGGCTGCAGCAAGACCCAGTTCCCAGATTCTTGCCAGACAAGACAAGCAAGAGCTGGCAACAACACCTGGGCCCCAGACCCACGCCAAACCCAAGCCCCAGTTTCTCCTCTCGCCCTTTCCCAGGGTCCTTCCCAGGCCCTGGCCCAACACCTTCGCTGAGCCCCAGATTCTCGTCATGCCCTGTCCCAAGACCCATCCCAAGCCCTGGCCCCAGACCCATGTCAGACCTGAGACCCAGATCAAAGTGAGACCTGAGCCAGAGCCAGAGCCCACAGCAAGACCCGAGTCAGAACCCGCGGTGAGGCCCGAGTCAGTGCCAGAGCCCGCAGCTAGACCTGAGTCAGAGCCAGAGCCAGAGCCAGAGCCAGAGCCAGAGCCCACAGCTAGACGTGAGTCAGTGCCAGAGCCCACAGTGAGACCCAGTCCCCAGATTCTTGCCAGACAAGACAAGCAAGAGCCGGCAACAACACCTGGGCCCCAGACCCACGCCAAACCTGGGCCCCAGATTATCTACACGCCCTGGCCCAAGACCCATGCCAGACCTGAGCCCCAGACCTGAGCCCCAGACCCACGTCTGGCCCGGGCCAAACGAACTAAAAGCAGCACTTTCAAAAGGACAAGAAGAACAAAAAGAAGATTTTAAACAGAAAGTGGAGGAGGTGAAACCCAAAAACAAGTCCTGGTGATGAAGAGGTTCTTTAGCTGCTTTAAAAGAACTGGAGGGACCAAACCCTGACTCCTGATATGGGTCGACTCTCTTCCCCTCAACCTCTGCTGCTCTGAACCCTGAACCC